AACCGTCAATTTCGCAACGTTGTTATCGAAACTGTCGAAATAATTTCTGAAAAGTTTCGACTTTTGCCAAAATGGGTGTAGGGTTTTGCCCCGCAACTATAATGTATATGTTGTGCAAAAACATGCATATGTGTGTTACATCCTGTTTTCGATACAATTCAGGCCTTTGTGATGTTGAATTGTAATGACCTTCAGTTGCACGATAAAAGGTTCGGATCCAATTTTTTGCATCAATTTCAAATGCATCAATTTCTTGCTCCAAAAGAAATGGGGTTCGTATAATTTTATAAAGTTGAAAAAATTCTCTCCATAATTTTTCAATTTCTTGTCCGCGGGTTCCAGAAATAAACTGAGAAACGGGAAAATTCTCTAATACTTTCTTCTTATCAGGGCCCATTAAAGAAGTCCAGTCCCATTTTCCACCAGTAGATCTAGACTTAAAAAATTCAAAATGAACTTTAATATTTCACATTGCTTGCTCAATTTCCAATTTAATTTCTTTTTCAAATTCTATTTTTTAATTAAATCATTGAATAAACATTCCATCAAGACATCAACAATACGTAAAAATAGATGCAATTCATCAGGAATGTAATTTTCCTGATTAATTGCAGGAAACAATGCTGGTTTTTTATTTTCGCCTAATTAGAATTTATAAAAATTATTAAAATATTAAATAAACAAATAAGAATAATAGATAATAAATAAAATAATCTTCATACAAGCAGTATTTTCCGAATTTTCAAAATTTTGATCCATATTCCAGCATATATCAGATTTACAATTACAATATAAACAAAAATACTTAGAATTAGGTGCATTCAATCCCATTATGATGTACATGAATTTCCAATCTCCTGAAAAAAATAGTTCTATTGGCCAATGAATTCCATCTTTATCGTAGATTCCATTATTTTTAAGATTAAAAAGTTGATGATGAAACAGCTCTCCTATTTTAGCAAGGTTTCCATATTTTTCACGTCCAACATAAAGGCAAATGCTAAAAATATATAATGATTAAAATGATTAGAATATAATTTTATTTAATTAAATTAATAAATTTGTAAATTACCAATATTGATGTTCTGGTTTTAAAACTTCTTCACCTTCATTTAAAAGACAAATTGTCATCATCACATGACTTTGCTTACACTCAACATTGCGCCCATCTCCACCAAGTTTAAGTTTAAGTATATTACCAGTATTAATAATTGCCGGAGAACCTTGTTTCCAAATTGGAATTAAAGTTTGTAATATTGTATAAATTGATTTATATGCACTATTTCCAATTTCCTCTTCATCAACTATTATTCCATCATCAGATTCTTCTAAATTATTAAATAAATCTTCATCTTTATCAATATTAAATGTTCCAATTCTAATTTCTTTGTTGATAAGATTAGTAATTTCATTTCTATGATTAGCTATTAAATATTCACGTATAAGACAAACTTCAAGTCATCGATATCCATCACGTGCTAGTAATGATTCATTACAAGCTCTAACAATAGCATTTTATCTTGACAAGTTCACCTTCCTTATCAGGCTCGTAAATTAAAATTATAGTTTCACCATTAAAATCTAATTCAATCTTGCAAATATATACTATTGGTTGATTTGTTTCAGTAGTCATTTGATGTTTTTTAATCAAAGATCTAACTGCCTTTCCAGATTCTCTACCTAAAAAAGCAAATCTTTTATTTTGCCCTGAGATAGTTTGAATCATTGCTAAAGGTCTTTTTCTTTTGTTAGTTAATATAATAGGAGCATCTATTATTTTCAAGCGATATTCATGCAATCTTCCAATATCAAATCCAAAAATATATACACCCGACAAATTAGAATTTGGACGATTATTTTTCTATATAATTAAGATCAAATCTTTTAATATTAAAAAATTCAATTCTGAAAAATATATATTTTTTATAAATAATAATACCTTTAAAAATGCATTAATAACACTAGTTACAGAGCGATCACTATATATACTCCATTCTGATCTATTTTCTTTCCACGCTATTGTAAACTTTACTTTTCCATTTAGTTGATATTTTGTTTTACAACGAATCTTTATTTTAGATACTTCCG